GGATTGAGTCATGAGGGAGATGAACCCTCCCTGCCATTTATTATGTTTGTATTGTCTTCATTTGAAAAGATTTTTTTTCCTTTTTTTTTTTTTTCCCCCTATGAGGATGTGAGTGGAAGTATTTCTAAGGGAACGGCTACTCCATGTCACCATCTCCAGAAACCCTCTGACTCCCAAGTGTGTTAGCATGCAAATAGACAAGAGGAAAGTGGCTGTCTGCAAGCGATGTGCTGCAGGGGACTGGGAAAAAAGACAAGCTGAGGAGGCAGCCACATTCTTCCTGCTACTGCAGACATCTTTTAGGAAAAAAGAAAAAAAAGAAAAAAAAGAAAAAATCCAGCTAACTCAAAATCACACACCAGAAGCGTGACTTCGACAGCTGTGCAGCCTTGCATGAATTGGTCCAAGATACAGGTACATTAGCACCAAAAGCAACCAGGTCTTCTCTGCAGGCAGCACAGACACTAGGTGCTTTTCACTGACATTACTGGTGTATATTAATAAAATAAAAATAAACATAAAAAAATCTGCATATACTAGCAACAGATTTTCTAATCTGATGGGTTTGAGCTTTCCTTCTCAAGTTGCCTTGCCAAAGGGTCCATGGGTGACCCTTGAGAACTTGTTGACAAGCGGTTGAAAATCGCAGTACAGTGATCTGCACCTTTATGAGGAAAGTGAAAGGTCAGCAAATAAAAACTGAAGACGAGTTATAGCTTTTTTCATCCTTGTCATAGCACAATTTTAGCATACACAGATTTTTAGCATAGCACTGATAAGGTGATTAACAGAACTGTACAATTATGTAGTTTAAAAATCATAAAATAATATCTAGATACAATTTTAAATCAGCTGTTCTACTGCATAGATACGTACAGAGCTCTCAATTATCTATCCTGTGCCAGAGATACAGTTCCACTTAAAAATAACAGTATTTATTTGAAGACTTGTTCAAGTGGCCAGATAGGCTTGAAAATCTTTTTCGAAGTGAACTGATTTGTGGCAATCGCTCCAGGATGGTTCTGCATGCATTCCCAAGGGCACATCCTGAACACACAGATTATTATTTTGGAGCAGAGTACCCACAAATGGAACAAGGTGCAGCCACAGCAAATCCAGGAGGAGAGTCTATGGTCTTCTGTTTTGATGTCCTTCTCTCTCTCACTGAATAATCACCATACTGTGATGCCCTTCATCTTTCTTAAAACAGCACTAATAATTTGTATACCTGCAATGCTCCCTGCATAGGACAAGCAATCATGCGGGACTTTTGCACCAGAGGAAAAAATCCTCCTTTTCAAGCTGTCTTGCCTTGCTCTCGCAGAAGAAGGTGACCAGACAGATCCTGCCCCAAGAGCAATCTTCCACCTAATAGCGTGTAATCAGTACACTGTGCCTAAACTTCCCCTAAATACACTAAAGGAATCCCCCTGAAAGCTTGTGGAACATCCAGGAGAAGAGCTGAGTTCTGCTGCCTCCTCCACACTGGCACTGCACCACCAGATAAAAATGAAGACAAATTCTCCAACCAGGCCAGCTTGCTGTTCCTGGCAGGAGGAGCACTGAGGATGCTATGGTACAGCTGCAGGGGAGCGCAAAGCTGGGATGCAGTCCTGCACAACTTGCATCCAGTGCCTCTCCAGAAAACCTCCTTTCCAAGGCCAGAGAAAACACTGCAAGGAGTATCTCTCCCTGTAGGGCAAAAAGGTTTTCCTTTGTTGCTCATCCCCTGCAAGTACAGCTTATCCACATCTTCATACATTTTAAAGCTAGAAATAGATATTACAATCATGTTGCTGACCTGCTTCATAACTGATATTGATATATTCCCCTTCCTTTTCAATTAGAAACCTACATTTTAGGCAAACGGTTCCAGTGGAAGGAGGCTGTTTTCAGACTGAGCCCCAAGCTCTGGATACTTCCAGCAGAGCTCCAAAATACCATATCACCACCCACTTTGAAATGGCCTCTGGCTCTGAAGATTTAGGTAATTCAATTACACAAATGCTCCTTTTTTCTACTTTTCAACAAAGTAGAGCAGCCTGTTGCCTTTCTGCATCCCCTTGCCCATGGCAATCGCTTACCACCTCTTTTCAAATGTGCTATTAGAGTTAATTATGAACAATCAGAGAACTCAATGGCTGTAGCTTTTCAGTGACATTAGTGAACTACCCTTTTGAAACTGCAGTACCACCGTTTAAAACAAAAAGCACAGTCGCTGGACCACTGCAGTCCACATTGCAGTGTGTGGTTATTCCCAGAATTAAAGCAGTTTCGAGCATGCTACACGAACGAGGAGAGCCAAACAACCTCTCCTCCTGCTCCCAAGCTGTCCGTTTATCAACAAAGAGCAGTAAGTTGACTCTTGCCGAGCCTCTTGATCCAGAAGCTGCTAGTACTTTGACAATAGATAGTACAGAGATAACTAAAATAAAGCAGCAAAATGTGAATAAGGCACATCTATGGGCACAATGAACTGGTATGCTTTGCTCCAGGTGGCTTGCAGAGCACCACTGTCACAGTCTGCTTAGGGTAGCTAAATCCTTTAGCACATCCCAAGAGAGCCAAGATGGAAAAGCATTTATTAAAAAGGTAATGGAAGAGAACATAAATCTGTCGTGCTGTTTGACTAACTTTTAAGAAGCATACTGAAAACACAGGCAATTTAAAAAGAAAAACCAACTGGTTTATAGCATTTTTCTCCTTCGCTACCTGCTCATAACCAGCACAATCCCAAATTCATTCTTTACTGCCTGCATGTAGGTACTGCTGCAAAATTGAACAAGACAGAAAAACACCTGAAGAGCTCAGCAGTGGGTGGAAATTGCAGAGGCTGCTTGTATGCCCTGGGCCCTGGCAGAGATGCTGCATGCAGCCTGTGAAGGAAACCTCTACTGAGAGCACATTGCTCTGAAGTAATAGTGCCACTGATTCAAGTCACCAGAGATTCCCTTACACTTAACCCACTGGTACTGTATAATAACAGGCACTGTGGTGTTTATGACCTGTTAAGAAGCCAGGCTTTTTCCCTCTCCCTTTTTCTTCTGGTTGCTCTTAAAATTCCTTCTGCTCTTGCTTTGGATGAGTTCTTACAGGGTAAAGGTCAAAATAAAAAAGAGAAATAAACATTAGGTCACAAAGTCTTGAAATGTTATTGCAATTTATATATGACTGAGAATAAAAATGTGCCTGCTTTCTCTGGAAACGTACCTACATGCAAACAGAGACCTTTCTAAAAATTCTCCTTTATTACCTTGGTGGGGGAAAAAATAAAAATCAAAGATTGATTTTCTTTTTACGGCTATTATTAACCTTTTGTTACTGGCCAAAAATCATCTGGTTAGAAAATGTGCAATAGATCAAAAAGAAAAAAAACGTTAAGAATTTAACAGAAAATTAATACTCAGGGAAAACCACGATGACCCTCCCTTCAGCCTTTTCTTTTACGGTCAGACTTCACCTCCAAAGAAACGAGACAGGTGTCAAAGAGGGGTGACTTCTCAGACTGCTGCAGTGGTACAGCATCTCAAACAGAACCATCTCCCAGGCTGGAAGGGCAAAGGGGATTGGTAGGTGTCTGACCTGACTCCACCCCGATTTCAATGCAAAGCTATTCCCACATGTATCTGACACATCACTCACTTGCTTCAAGTGAAAGGCGACTAACTGGTCTCAACAGTGAGGCATGTAAAGCTCATCATTTGTACTGGCTCCACTGCCCCTCTTCAATGTAAGGGAAAACTCTCATAAAAACCATTACAGCTGAAATCACCCAACATCTAAGCATGAAGATATGGCTCTCTCTAGCTACTGTGAAGCCATACTTCCTAATACAAGGCAAAGGCAAGAAAGACTTTTTTTTTTTTTTTTTTACAACAATTCCATGTGTTCTAAATACCAGCACGGCTATTTCTAGCCCATGAATCCTACGGGTCTGCTGACAAGTCTTCAGATTGCAACTGTGCATAAGGTTCACCTCTTACAAATTCCTGAAGCACTTGTCGCAAGGCTGCCCAAGATCTCACTGGTAAGAGCTAGCAAAATTGTCAGCAGAGGTGTATGTATGTCCAAACTGGGCAGGAGAACAAAGCCCATAAGCGCTATACTGGTAAGGAGCAGTCAATCATAATTCAACAGAAATAGGTTGGACAATTATTCCCAAACATGATCTCATTTACACAGGTCAAACCTTAACTACAACATGCTGACAAAACTAGGAGCACTGACTCATGAGCACAGGCAGACTCAAGCTGGCTGTCTGGAATGAACCACTTGCAAAGCACAATGCAGTTCACAGCCTGGTCTATTCAAGTACCATAAAAATGCTTCTAGTTAAACTCAGACACATGGGCTGTAGTGGCTAAAAAAGCTGCTTTATGTTAAGTCAAATTGTGCTAGAAACATTGATTCCCAAGGGGGTGAGGTGGTTTTGTGAGCATGGAAATGGTATAAACTGTTTGACTTCAATCAGTACTGAGATCCTACTGTGGCTGTCATATGCTCACCATGTTGTGACATGAAGCATCACTTCCTCCTGTGGCATGTTCTGCCAAAACCAGGCACTTATCACAAGCTTTTCTGCTAGGCAAAGCGGTATTCTCTTCCCATTAGTTTACTAAGCTCTGCTGAGAGTGTAATGTTACAAAAATACACTGGAAAATGCACTTTCTGTAGGAACCTATCAAACGCCTTGTGTGCAGGAAATCCCTCTTGCCATCAGTACCACTAGTCACATTGGAAGCCACAGCCAAGGTGTTCAAACAATTTTACTGCAAGGAGAAGTTTCATCAGGAATGGAAAAAGGCCCCTTATTACTATGTACTTCGTGCAACCAAATTCTGTTATTTTTCTGAGGTTACCTTTTTCAATGTTCTTCTCCGTGATAAGTACCCTGAGAGAATTTGGTATGGAGTTTTGGGACAATTCAATTTCATGTGAAACATTTGATCAAGTGGCTAAATAACATATTGATCAAATTAAACTTCTTGGTCCTTTCTTACCTGGCTGTTAACGTCAGCAGCATGTTGTAACAGTACTGAAACCAGCTCCTTGTGTCCCCTGTCACACGCCCAGTGAAGCAGTGCCCGACCCTACAACACCCAGGAGAAAATTAACAAAGTCGGCCAAAAGAAGCACAGAAAATCACAGTCTTGTTATTAAATATTTAGCACCAATAACAAAATTACCAGACTTTAAAAAAGCGACACTAGTATTAGTATGTAACATATTATTGCTCCTCATTTGGACTTACAGAATAATTATAGAAGTGTTAGAAGTGACACACAGTTAAATTTTTATTAATTTAGCATCAAACCCACAAGCCAGCATAAAATACCCCAAACAAACAAAAAACAGAGGGAAAAAGTAAGCAAGGAATGAAAAGCAGGAGCCATGACATAATGGCTTGTTTTCCTATACAGACTTGGGATTTTGACACTTCTGACTTTACTGGGAGCAATGACTGACACTCTAAAGATAACATTTTCAATGCTGCCTAAGTCACCTGAATGCCAAGTGCCCAGAAGCTCATTTCTCTGGCAGGTCCAAAACACTCAACCCACATCCCTGCCTCTGCTGCAACAGAAGGTTAAAACTGGGCATTTGAGCAGGCATCACCCATGACTGTCCTGTTCCCAGCTCTGCAACATAGGCTGCTGCCTTGCATGCCTCCAGCCCTCCACCAAACCTCTGCAGTTTTCTCTTCCCTGCCCCTTTCTACAACTGCACAACTGAAGTCTCACTGCTTGTCTCTGCCACCACAGGAGGACACGCAATGGAAGTTCAGATCTTCCTGCCTGTAAAGGACACAGGAATGAGGCTTAGGACCTGCCTGAGGGCAGACACACACAACTGAAAGCACAGATGGCCTCACACTGGACTAAGGAAGTAATGAAGTGAAGCCAAGCTTTTGCGGTTGGGTTCACAGGTGCCTCTCTGAGCTAGAACAGCAAGTGTGGCGCACTTACAGGGAATTCCTTGGAATCATCCTATACATAACCAGAAAATCATCCCCCCAGCTGTGACACTGTCAGATCAACCTGTGTTTTCCATTATGCTACAGAAAATAGTCACAGACCCTCACAGATGAAATCAGTTAAATTAGCCTGTGCCCAGTTATAAATCTAATGACAGAGCAGTGGGGAACAAAGTAAAGAACTAATTTATCTACTAATGAGAACTATGAGACAATTTTCTGACCACGGTGCCCAAACAGCAGGAGTGGCAGAAGACACCTGCAACCAAAGCTCACACTGGTTCTGCTGGATATTCTTGGGCAGAAGAAGAAGAACATGTTTTTAAGTCAGGAAATGCATGCTTTTTGACCCAGGAAGTAGTTAATTTTTGTAACACATAATTTTAATGTTACATTAATTAACCTTGAGTTAGAATGAATATTCTGACAATGACTTTCTATGGAAGTATGATTACATCCATAGGCCATTTAATGATTAACGTTCTTGTACTCAACACCAGTATCAAAGTCTAAAAGGAGGAAAGAATAAAATTTAAAACAACTGGTAAACATAGTAAGATCTTTAATTCATATTAAGCATCCTTCACTCATCTCTGACTGGCAACTGCTTAGGATTTCAGTATGATAAATACCAACATTTTTGTGCCACAGAGGTTTATTTCAAAAGAAAGAAGCACTATCTGCAATAGGCACAATAGCAATAAATACTTCAACAGATTATTTCCATTTTGCTTTGTATATCTAGGGGAATAATACTGTAATTACATGTGTAATTACTGTGCAATTCACAATAACAGACATTTCTATCCTTTATAGCAAAATTCACGTTACAGATTAGTGGCTATAATAGGTTGGTTTGCATTTCTCTCTGGACAAGCAGAATCTTATCTTATTGGTGCTGAAATTGGCTGGGACCAATAAACGTAAGCCAACAGGTTGTGAGAGACAGTGCTGCTAACACTGCCAGCTCAAGGATACTGCAGCACTGTGCAGCTGGTTCCTTCACATGACACTGGAGGCTGGTCCTGCTGCAAATGTTGCCTTTTGAACAAGACAAGAAACTGAAGTCTGATTATCTATAGTCATTAAAAATCTCCTTGTGCTATTTGCAGGAGTATGGATTTCAAGTCTTGGGCCAATTCCACTTTGGGTAATTACACACTGCTTACCTATATATTTTCTCTGTAATTCTAAATGGATACAATATTTTCCAATTAGTGACTTAAATGGCTCTGCATTGTAATTGTGCGCTATTAAAAAGATGACACGTTCCACCCAAGAAATGTCTGCATCCTTGTGGCATGCTATCCCCTAAACACAGGGTATAAGGGACTTTGGAGACCTGTACAAGAGCACACCATCTGATGAGTAAGTAAAAATACGTGCAGAACAACCTCAACCTACTTATTGCGTAACAAAAAGCATTACTAAGAGACTTGTATATAATACTACTGTGTGCATAGGATCAGGCAAATCAAAATGCTCGGGAGTTCTAGCCAATGTACTTAAAGCAACTATACAGCTACAAAGCCCACTTGTTTCCCATGTCTTCCTTCCACATCCTACCCTTAGCAGTAAGATAAACTGAATGTGCAATACAGCTCTTTGCATAGCATGGATATTGCCTATGAACACTGAAAAATTCTTTAGTCTGCACAGCTGCTGCTTTATATCAGCATATAATTCGTGTTTGTGTTTTTAAATAACATGGCAGAAATCTTAAAAGCCACAGATTGTGCTTTCCCAGAACACTTCCCATATGACCATTTCATTAAGCAGTGAGACCCAAAGCTGTATGAATAATTTCATATAGGAAATCACTGCAGTTTTGAGGTCTAGACTAAATGCAGGCAACATCAAGGTACTCCCTCTGTGCAATTCAAACACAATTGTTGCAGAAGTTACTTGAGAGGATGCACTTCCCCCTGCCTTTGAATTGTTTAATAAAAAAAAGCATAAAAATAGCCCCACTGCACTAACCCTGCCTCTTAAATCTTCTATGCTTTGCTTGGATAACTGCTGCCAGCTTGGCCAGCTTCTGCAGCAGTTTCTCAAGCCAACAGCACATCAATTTTGCTCAGCTCCAAGTCACAGGGTGTTCACAAACAAAGCACAGGACAGGGATTTGTCTCCGATATACTGAGTCTCAGCAGACAAATGGATGGGAATGATTTTCACATCAATTAGCCAACGCAGAGAAAGAGGAGAACAAAGCTAAACTGAATGATGCGCTACAATATTAAGCTATACTTCTAGGCATGATGTTTGCAGCTGTAATGGCTGTATGACAATGAGAGATACTCTAACTTGTGGCAAGTGGTTTATTACTGGTAATTAAGAAGAAATATATATAGAATGGCCGCATCCCACCCTAATAGGAAAAACCGTGAACAGAAGGGCTGTTGTTGCAATTATAGAGGTAAACTTCAGATTTGATTTGGAAGTCAATTGCTTTCACACCTTTGAAACATTTGGGGAAGTCTTTCTAATGAGAGTAAGCATGTAAATCCAGAAGTATGTGATTCTTCTTCAAATCCATTTTTTTTCTCCCTTATCCTTTCCTTGGCAAGCTGGCACCAATCTGGCATTTGCTATCTCAGAAGCACAAGGACTGGGGACTAACCAAGCACTATTTCAGTTGCCTTTCATTAAAGTTTTGGCAGTAGCTTAAATATTGTACATAAGTAACATGTTTGCTTACTCAGATTTCTCCAACAATTAAAAATAAGTTCTCCATCTAGAACTTCCACAGCCCTTGGCACAAATAGCAAAAGCAACTCATCTATGCCTTTGAGCAGTTTCTGTTTTGTTATAACTTGAACAAATATTGCTCTCAAAAAGGCAGCAAGCAATCCATACTACCAGGATGTGCCTGTGGCGACTTCACAGCCACAGTCCATTTCTTATTTCATTAGTCCTGCTGACATACGCAAGAGAAACAGGTTGTTTTAGTCTGTGCTATTTTTAAGTGAATGCAAGCTATTCCGTTGAACTCCAGGCAATTTAGATACAGTAAATGGAAGCTTGTACATGATTACTGTCATTAGATTCTTTGTTTAATTCTAAATTGAAGATTATTATATCCAAACTGTTAGCAAGTATGCTGGCTTGAATGCTTCACATGAAGATCTTTTATTTCTTGTGAGAAGACCACTTATGCTTTAAAGTTGCCATCTATCTAAATCCCAAAGGTTTCTGTTGCCCTTTCTGAAATCCTTTTTCTTCAAGTAAGTTGGTTTGTCCCCATTTTACATTTTTATTTTGGATTCCTCTTCACCTTTCGCTAACTTGTTAGCACAAAGGAGGGGATACAATTAGGTAAGGTACTAATGCATCACATAGAAATAAAAATATAAACACCTTACAGCCTCAGTCAAGTCTTTATTGTACAAGCAAAGGCTGAGCCTAGTATTGCTGCAGTTTAGCACCAGACTGTTTGGTGCTTCAGTAGATTTTGTTTCATGACAAGTTAACTCTTGCATGTATCTATCCCTGCTGCCATTTTAAATCTATATGCACTTAAATAAAAGGATTGACACTGTGAGTTATGGTCAGAGGGCTAGGAGAGGCATCTTTGGACATGGCAGGATGCATTTATACAGTAACACTAAAATAGTTAATAAAAAACGACAAGATTATGCTTGCATACACTTCACTCTACCAACGGCTCAGTCTGGGTTATGTCTAGTCTAAAATGGGTTCTAAAACTTCAATCAACCTGCACGATGCTGGAAAATAAGATACCTTCCAGATTATGGAAACTATGTTTGGATTTAAAAAAAAATAAAAAAAAATTCTTACTTGTCTGGTTAACCATTTGCTGGGGTAACCCCAAAATCACTGAGGCTGTGAGAATTTCATCTACAGGGGAATTTTGCACCAGTTGGAACCTTTCCATGAGGCATTCACAGGTAGGTAAGGTTTTTCAGCTCTTATCTATGCTGAATGAATTGCATACACTGCAACAGTCATGTGCTGATACCCATTAGTTCAGAAGTAGGCCTTCTGTCATATCAGAGACTTGTGGATAACTCCCAAAGACAACATCACTTGGCTGACTTCAGGTCTGACTCTAAATGGTTATGTTGTTAGAATACAAAAATATTGTATCTTTCAACTTTCTTTTTCTTCTGTAAATATTTTGGCTGAGAACAAGCACATTTGTTGCTTGAACACAAAGGAAGGTATGAGCTTCTGAACACTGCTAACTACAAAAGAGCATCTTGCCAGTGGAAATGAAGTAGTGCTAGCATAATGCTATTATACAGTTATTGCAAGTGTGTGATCTCCAAAAATGAGCTTTTATTAATGAAAGGGGTTCAGTCACGTGCTGTGGAACTGCCCTAGACATTTACTTCCGCAACCTGTGATCGGCAGAAGGAGGGATGAAGCTCAGTAATGGCGCTTGCAGCGACTGTGTGGCACATGACAGTTTCAGTTCATTGAATTTATGATGCAAAATTCCAATCCCGATCATAAACACCATCTCTCCTCTCCTCTGAAAATTAATTCACATGAATTCCTGATTAATAATAAAAGGCCCTGCCATCAGCATTCAGAGCCCCAGCCGGGGCTGTCATGGCTCAGAGGGCAGAAATCTGCTCAGTGCTTCTGCAGAACCCAACTGAATTTGTGGTGTCTCAGTCTATGAATGTGTAAGCACTTCATCTGTTCACCAGAACACAATGCGTTGGAAAGCAGCAGGCAAAAGCAGCATGGACCACAAGCAGGGCTAGGTGGCAGCATGCAAGCATCAAAACCAAGATGATAAAGCTGATACCACTACATTTTCTGAAGGATATAAACTTCCATACCAGGTGTCTACTTTCACCAAGACAGAGATCAAGCTAATTCACAATTTTAAACCCTTATTTTCTTGAGGTTTCTGACAATGCCTGCATTACCCCCCTTATGGCAAAACAGTGTTTTGAGCTTGATGAGAGGAGAAAGTCTGGACAATGTCACTGTTTTTGTGAAGCTGGAAAGCCGGTATCACTCATTTGTCCTCCATCTTGGAAACAATTAAATGCTGATGGCGTGGCAGAAATCCTACTTCAGCTGTGAATAGTTCATCAGTCAAAAAAAGCTATTTGCCTCACATCCTACTTCTATTTGACCACATTTAATATACAAGCTGACAAAAGGGAGATATTCAGCAGATGTTATCCTGCAAGTGGCTGCTGGCACTGCTGAAAGTAATACAGAACATAAGTTTCTGACATGCTACAGCATCAATTAGTACATCTACACTACTAGAAACACAACTGAAAGCTATTTTCAAATAGATTAACCCTGTCTCAATGACCAAGTATTTGTTCTAACAAGATACTACAGCAGCTGGACAGACCAGAGAATTTTGTAAAGGAGTGGCACTGAATTAACACACAAAACAGTTAAAAGATCGATGGTCGTTATCTTTTTCTCTCCATACCTCCTCATCTGTAGCATTCACATCCACTTTTTTTGATTGAATGGCTTTGGTTACATAGTCAATGTTGTTTTCTCTGCAGTAATCAAAAATGTTCTTGTCCTCTTCCCTAGTCAGGAAACAAAAGCAAAAGAAAAACTGTGTTACTGCACAGCACAAATGTTGCATGTACATCATATGCTCTATGGCATTTCAATACAATCACTGGACTGAAACAGACACCTACTAGTGCACATGCAGAATAATATGGTTTTTTTTTTTTCCCCAAGTTAAGACAGGATTCCACTGCCTAGAATACAAAGTTTGTTTTTAACAGCATTATGCTATGACAAAAGTCAACTTACTCCTGTGAACTGGCATGAGAAGTCTATAAACTTAGCCACCAAAACCCACGTTCAAGCCCTGGTAAGTCACTGCAATCCCACAGCAGACAACTGCTATACAAACTTGTAACAACCACTCCAGGTCAGACCAAAGCCCCCTTCCAATGCCATCCATCGCAGACAGTGGCCATTAATGGTAGCTTGGAGAAAAAAAGCAGAAGGAACAGGACACATTCAAAGCAATCTGTCCCCAGCATTGGATCCTCCCAGATTCAGAGTGACCTAAGGATTTCTGTAGCTAGAGGCTGCATCCAGATAAGCATATTTATTAACCTTTCCCAGGTCCTTTTTCCACTGTATTCAGCTCTTTAACCCATTCAAACAAACTCTTGATTTCTCTAAAGGACAAGCTCTACAACTTGGCTTTCTGTATGTGAAGGGGTGAACAGTGGGCAAGTACTTTCTTTTGGTGGTTTTAAAACAGGTGCTTGCTATTATCACATACTCTTTGGTAAGTAATTGTTAAGAGATTTGTTAAAATTTTGGTGTTTGCCTTGGAATCTGACCACAAGGCTTGGGTTTTATTTTATTTATTTGTGATGTCACAGGTGCTTGAGGTACCTCTATAGCTTCTTCTAGAAGTAAAAGCAATATTCTGGCTTCAGACATGATAAAACTTCTGTCCAAACAAACTAAACAGAACCTCTAATGAAGTTAAGATATTTCACAGATTCTCAAAACATCACAAAAGAACTTTGTAAGAGTGACTGGAGATAGTGTTTCATGGCAGTTGGAAAAAAAAGCAAGAGCTAGGTGCCCCACAAGATTTCATGTTTAGGTCTAGAGATATTACAGAAGTCTTCCAATTTCTTAATCAGTCTCCCATGAACTCATTTGTTGGAGGTCTTGTCCACTCACTACACGCAAGCTCCTGGGAAGGAGATCACTGCACACTTTAGATGCAATCACTTTGAATTCTGGGGAAAAAAGAATCTCATGGTGGGATTAGAAAAGGCAAAAAGCTTATATTGCTCAAGATGAAGCTTGACAGATTCATGATGGAGGTCATGAGACATGCCTGCCCCTACTAACAAGGGCTGATTTGATGTGCTGGGAAGTCCATTCAGTCCTACCTTGCTAGTCAAATCTCTCAAACACACCCTTGGCTGCTGAAAGCAGCCGTTTGCATGAAGCTACTTTTCAGACAACACTGTACAGCAATTTGGTTCCACAAGTTTTCTCCCCATTGCACAGCCACACCCACACTTTATTACAGATCATTCTTTATTCTGTAAGAAAGTGAAGCCCAGCCTCCTCTTGCTAGAGAAGTCCACAATCATCCTCAATTACTCCCAGATGATTTTCTGCATCACAACCATGAGCCTCAGGCTGTGAGCCTAGCATCCTTAGCAGTGATGCGACCCAGTCAACCTGGGCACTGGCATTTCCACATGCTACAGCACCTGGGTGGCTCAGCCCTGCCAGACCTCACACAGCAGCACAAGAGGTACCAGAGGGTACATGGCAGCAATAAAGCAACTGACTGTGCTCCACGGGGAGTGTGCTGCAAGATCTGCACCAGTGGAGAGAAGACACATTAACATTGTTGTACCAAACCCAGGTGATCTTCCTACCAAAGCCTCTAGATAAGACTTCTACAGTCCATTCCCAAGGATATTATTGCCTGTAAGGGGGAAATGACTTGACGCAGCTATCTGGATGTCATTTAGCTTTCCTGAAATAACCACCTCTTCAAATGCTCTACACATCCCCCTTCCAAAAAACACACTTCTCTTTCAGAAGTCTCCAGAAAGGAATTAATCCAGAATAGCAATTTCCCCTCCTGAAAATAAGGTTTTGGGAAATTTAACCTCTTTACTGCAAATTTATTTCTCTAAGCTTTAAACTATACCTCTGGATTTGACGCCCCTTCTAGAACAAAAATAGCACATATTATCTCCAGCTTTTCTGTAAATATTAACAAAGAGAAACAAGCCCTTTCCTGAATAGGTTTGAGAAGTCCATGCAGTCAGACCACAGACATTTTACCTGCAAAAAAAACTAGTCATGTGAAGTTGCGCTCCAGATATCATCAGCATCAAGGCCCAGAAACTGGTAGAAACAGCCTAAAACTAGATACAGGCACATCACAAATCAGAAGTAAGTGATGCTCTAAGATATTGCTCAAATAATGTTTGGGGGCTGGGGTACGTAGGGGAAGAACCCATAACATTTCTATTAGTATTGTCAGGAAAATATCAATTTATGCAAAAATACGGCATTCAAGTTACTGTCAGATGGGAAAGACCATGAAATTCAACCTAATGGAGATGTGCACAATTATTTAAAACTTGTAGCTAAAAAGGAAGACTCAGATGCAATTTTGTTTCCATGTCAGATTGTGTGAAATACAAGCACTGGCTCTTTTTGTTGAGCTTAAAAGGAGTCAAGACCACTTGACTGTCAGTAAAGGCAGGGAATACGTTTACATCTATTTCCTGAAGATGGCCAGAAGGGTTTCTCTCCTCCCTGCTGACACATATTCAACCCCCCCCAAGCTATTTTCTTCTGCTCTCCCTCATCCTCAGCAAGAAATGCTAGCTCTGATTTAACACTGGGCTGAAGCATATCTGTTGCCTGCAGGTAATACATGGGCAACTTTCTTCTTCCTTGAATAAAAGTATGTGGAAGAATTTAAACAAAGCCATCTTCTTCCAAGCTTGCAAAGCTTAAGCCTAAAAAACACTTGGTGAGCCAACAGTTTTTAAACATCTCACGGAAAAGACCTGTTGCTGGATAATCAGGCTTCACTTCCTTACCTTGAGTACTGTAAAACTCCTTGCTTTCTAAACAGCCACCAAGACTACCAGGAAAAACAGCACAGAAGAGACCTGAAGTTCAGGTATTCTACGCTCACACAGACAGCACCCTCCCATGCCCTTCCTCCCCCCTTGCAGGTTACCTCCAGCACAGAGGGCTGTGATCGGGTGCTACTTTGGGCATCCTCTCCCCTTTTCCTGGGGCTGGTCCAAGCCACGTCCCAGTAGACCCGCTGTGGAGTGGCCCCAGGTGCTGCTAACAGGTGGCTTCTCCCATCTGCTTGGCAAGGTGCTGCTGAGTAAGTGGGAGAGCAGTGGAGCGGAACACAGCGTGTGGGGAGCAGAGAGACACTCGCAACACTTACAGTTTTTGTCAAGGCCCTTGGCCCCCAAGGGACCCATTTCACATAATCTATAATTATCTCTTTGCTTTAATCGCCTCCTCACTTCTGAGGCTCTCCTGGGCACAGGAAGAGGAAAAGCTCATTAACTGAACCTTTTCTCCTCTCTCCAGCCACCCATGGCTTTTAATTGCTTGGTGTTGTTATTATCTATCAATGCAACTGGGATCATTTTCATAAGAAAGGGTGGTGGGAGGGAGGAAGACAGGAGTGGGTCCCTGAGGTATGCACCACAGACAAACCTTTGCTTTCTCAATTATTTATGCCAGCTGAGGTATTACAAGCTGAATAAATCCATAACTCAGGTTTATTTTGATCCGGCAGGCTGTCTCGGGGGAAGTGTTGCCCACTTGCTGGCACACTCATGTGGTGTCCTCTGAGAGCGGCCAGGACATAGCGAGACATGTGTCATCCAATTCCCCACCCGTCGCTGCACCGCCACACGTACTTTGTTAGATTAGTGGCAGCACTGGAGAGGAGGCTGAAGTGAAAACCCTAAAAAGGAGCCACCACTGAAGGATGCACTCTCCCAAAGGGAAGGCAGACAAGCTGCCCCTTTGCACAACAAAGCAAAGCCCCAAGGGTCACCACTCCAGGGACAATAAAAAGGGAGGGAAGCAATAAACTTGGCAATCATCTTGAAGTCAGAGACTTGCCCACTTAACATGACCAGAAGAGCATCCATTTCTTAATGACACTGACCTGAAAAAACCCAAACCCCAGCTGCCTGGACCTGCAGGTGTTTTGTTTGTGATATGCCATGGCTGAGCACACTGCAGGCTGCGCAGCCAGGAAAGCTCTTCCACAGGGATTGCCAGCCCAGCATCTATGTGAACAAGACATCTGCAGCGTGGCCACCCAAACACACATAATATCAGCACGAGCCTGTAATTCCCAACACAGCAAGGATTCTGGCTCCTGCACCACTGCAGCTTTGTGCTCATTTCCAGTGCCGGTGTTCCTGAAAGCAGGGTTAGAGGGAGAGAACAAAACCCAAACCATGCTCCAGAGTGCTGGGCTCGTCTCAAAAGCCATTGCAACTCCAAAGTGGCATCCCTGCAACGGATGCTGGAAGCAGCTCTTTAAAATTCAGCAGCCTTTGTGCCTGACCACACGCAGCGACCTCTGGTATTTTCTGCCAAAACAGTTCATTTGTCTCGCACAACAACTAATCAATTCCCAAGGCCATCCATCACAGGGGCTCGCACGAGCCGGCCCAGCAGCAGGGCCAGATGGTGGCTGCGTTAGCGGGATTAATACAATTCTGATAGATTACATGGCATCAGACGGGCTCCCAAATGAGGGGTGCCTGCTCCACACTGTGAGCCTAAACAGAGCCCCACTTGCAACTGGGGTCATTCCTAAATGTTACAGGAAAGGATGGAAGTTTCTACCAGACAAGGGTTTCTACAGCCTCTTTTGGGATGGCAGAAGTGTAAAAGATAGCTCAGGGAAACCTCCATGCCAAGCAGTGGATGTCATCCCCAAGCTAGCATGCTGAAGCCACGTGGGAACAGCCCATGGCAGGGTGCAGGAGGGCTCCTCTAGAGGAAAGGGACAGACATTTTGCAACACTTTTCTGCATTCTCCATCTGGCAAGTCAATGCTTTCATGTGCTGGAAACACAAACTGTCTTGCCCTTGCCCCCACTTAAAAAAAAAAAATGCTGCAAAATAAAGTTGAATTTCCAATGCCATGGTATTTTTGGCATCTCACTCAGTTTGTGTCTTGGATTTATACTGGTGACACATCAGTCAACCTCATCTCACTGCTCATTTCTCAGGTTTGTGAAACTAATTATAGCTATGTGATCATGAAAGAGCTCAGCTACTACTGCTTTTGTTCTGGTAATAACACCAAAAAAAGAGACAAAGCTTTATGCAGCAGTAAAAACCCTACCACTACACCCAGCATTCTCCCTTCCAGGGGAACCTCCAAGTCCCATCATCAGTCACCAGCACGCATTATTTTTGTGTAATGCCTGAAGTGAGATAAGTGATTTGCAGAGAAACACAGAGGCAGAGCACTATGCTAATATTCTGCAACTGCTCCCTATTAGTCACTGGGGGTACTTGAGCTCTTTATTGCCAGGGTTTATTAATGACCCCTAATTGATGACCAGGGACCAGCACCCCAAAGTAAATAACTGCTATGCCTCATTAGCTCAAGAGACCTCTGGATGCGAAGATTGATCTCTGAATACCCAGATTGCACTGATTTAACCAGTTCTTTTTCTAAATTGATTTAATTAGATCAGTATAACCTGTTTCTTTGGATGCTTTTGAATTTATTTGGAATCACAGTGCTGTACTTCTGTGAGCCAGACAGACCATTTTTCTATCTTGTTCTCAAAACAGAAACATTTGAGATTAGTGATAAGGCAAAATCAGTCCTGGCATAATCCCAGTTCCTCCTATTGCTGATCCACCTGACTTCAGAGTAGGGTATGGTTAACTCCACTTTGTCCAACATGTACAGATTTGCATCCTAAACCCAAAGCACTTCATTTCATAAAAGGAATGTAAGCATTATTTATATGTAATTTTAGACATTCAGTTTGAAAGCAGTGGCATTCCTGCTTTGCTTGGTTATTTACTGCTGAGGGTAAACTAGTGATTTACACTATTTAAAACAAAATCTCTTATCTCTCTATTACGTAGCAGCAGATTAGAGCATGTTAATCGTTTGACAAACTGTTCAAAAGCTTCTGACAAGAATAAAATAAGTGAACCTTCAAAACCCCACACTCGCACTCTTGTCTATCTCCCACTGCAAGGTGAGGTTCTGGGGATCCAGATAAATTAAACAACCTTTTCCTGCCTTTGCATCAGCAGAATCCTAAGGGCGTATGGTAGGCTGTATTTGGCAGAGTAATGCCTGAGAAACTGCTTTCAGCAGTCTGTGAGTACCCAGGGACTGATGAGGACTTGAGTTTTTCATTTTTAATATATAAAATACAGGTTGTTTGGTTGTTGGTTTTTTTTTTTTTTTCTTATTCTGGGCTTCCTTATTATGATCCTGTAATTAAAAAATATTTATCCTATCAACAGCCCTGGGAAACAGAGACTAAAGTGCTTTGACTTGTATCTCAATTTTTGCAAGCCTGTTGTAAAGCTTCAGTAGGCCCAACAGACAACTGAGTCAATAAAATAGCCTCCATCTAAGTTCTTCTCGTTTTAAGGTAGCATACACAATACACACTGAACTTACAGCACAGGACTTACCTGCAAGTATTAATGTATTTATGTATTTAAGCTATTAAGTTTTCTTTCCTCTTAAACATTTTCATTTTCTTCCTCTAGAAAAAATAATGCATTTTCCAAAGACTGCATTCTATTTACAAATGCACTGAAGTATTACTGAATGCTAACTTTATGCTCTTGTAAGTAGCCACTGACAGCCTCAGTAAAAGTCACCCTTCTCAGGTGAGCAATATTACTATCAAACCAAATCACCCCCTGCTCTAGAATAACCTTGGGTGCCAAACAATGTCTAAGTCACCCTCCTCTGGCTCATCTGCTTGCAGATTTGGTACCAGGGCAATTTTGCTAGTAGGACTATGTTTTTTCTATTATACTTATCACCATTAGAGATGTGGCTGCACACACATATTTCCTGTTCCAGAAAGAGAACGAACAGTAGACAAAAGCCATAGTACATTGGCAACTCTGAGAAAGTTGAATCTGTACAACCTGCACATAGGTGAGCACTTCCTATCTTGCAATTGAAGGCACTGTACCCTATGAATCAAGCTGTGCTAACAGACCACATGAGCTTCCATTCTGACAGCAGTCACGAGACTTCATTTAACTCACTTTTAGCAGAATCACCCTATTCCATCTGTGTCAGAGACTACATCTGCCTACAGCCTCATTTTGTAAAGGCTGCAACTATGCTATACTGAACATACAGCATATATGTTCTCATGGCATGCTTGAAAAAAAAAATAATATTTGGAGCTGTACTTATTTTCAAGACCTGCAGAAGTCACGTTCGCATGGAAATGAAAACAAAAATTTGACAAAATTTAGACTAGTCAAGCCTATCAGAGCAAACTCTGCTTTGCAGTGTATTGTGCTGTATTTCACACCCAAGAAGGAGCACAGGCAGTACTTGGGATAGCCAAAACTCAAACTACTGTAGGACTAAGCATAGCTCATACTTTACACCCAACACTGTGCAGCACTGATATGCTCCACTCCTAAAAGAAGAGCTCAAACAGGATTTAAACCACAAGGTCACAAACTGTCAACAAGGATGTTGGCCGAGACATACATTGACAGAGCGGGGAAGAAAAAGGAGCTTGTGGCTAGCAGAAGTGCTATTCCCCACGCAGTGTGTTAAACCAGGGTCATATCTGAGTACCTCTGGTCAAGGTCCAGGGGCAAGTTAAAAAATGTGTTGGCTCTCCATGCAAGGCAGAGAAGGCTGCTCCTGGCCAATTGCTCCACCTCACTAGAAAGTGGACTGTAACAAAGGTAAGTGCCCCTGCTACCGCTGAGCACAAAACTGCCACTCTATTTGCTTACACGCAACAGCCATATAAATTTCTACCTGAGCTCCTTTCAAAGGGTTTGGAGCCACCTTCTCAAGATTTATTTTTCATTAGTTTGTGACAACAAGTCGAAGAACTGCTGTGTTAGAGATTTAACACTTTGGGAAAAATCTAGCAAGCTTGGGAGGCTGTATGTAGAGGAATCAGTGTTTATCTTTTAATTTCCTGGGACTAGAATGATGCAAGACATTCAATAAAAAAAATGGCATCACATACACATAAATGGGTGACTGCAACACGACAGCAAACACTGCTCAAAAATTTACTCTTCCTTGACTGTTCATTTTAACTAAAAACACTATTCTGAAAGATCCTTTCCAAGCAATCATTTAGGTATTGGAGTTAATATTATACCCATGATTAGTAGTCTGGAACAGCAAAAAACCCAACCAAACAAAACACCCAGCTGTCTTTATTCAGTATCTAATGTCACCTACTACTTGCACTTTGACAGTTTTTAAATAGCAGCCATTCTAGTTCAGTAAATGCATTTCTGCTATGTTAGCTGCAGAAGCTAGAAAAAATTAATTTGATATAAGGTACAAACTCTCCCTGAAGGCAAACACTGTCCAACATTAAAATCTTCACTGAGCAATCTTTAATGAATGTATTGGTAAAGAAATAACTATTTGAAAAAGATAGTGTCTAAATAGCTTTCTATTAAAAATATCCAATATTACCTTTTTTTAGCTATATAACTGAAAAATGGGAAACCTTGCCCTTCCTCCACATCTTGTGCTAGGGAAAGGTTACTACCTGGCAATGATACAGGCAGTTATTGATTTAAATGGTTATGGACCTGAAAAGTTCTTTCCTGTCATTTATTATCCTGTTGTAGTTGCCACCACACTTGTGCAATATTAAAAAAAAAAAGGGGGGGCTTAACAAAATTAAATTAGAAAAATAGAAAAATACTGGTTTTAACTGTATTATCCAGTGCAGATAATCACCTGATTGTTTCTTCTTGATATAATGAGCTGACAACTGGGCCTCCAAATGCAGTTTTGCTTTCCTTTCCCCTCTTCTCTGTCATCTGAAAGAAAAAGAAAGATTGGTCCAGCATGCTGCCTCCCAGCCCACTCCAGGCTGTGCCATCCCCTATCTCCCACCCCTTCTCCTGCCCCAAAGACAGGACAAGCCCTCTGGAAGGCTCATCTTTATGACAGACAGTACCTCACAACCCTACTCCATGAAAAACAGGTGGATGGACGTCTCAGCAAATCAGATCAATGCTCCTCTGAAGGTGGCCCAGAAGGGTCACCCGAAAGGTAGGTTTGGCAGCCTTGCTGTCCTGCTCACAATGAGCCAAAGCTTTGTCTCTGCAGCACTCCCAGCTGTGGCCCTTTAGGGCCTGAAAGCTGAGCCTCTGTGAGATAGCATAATGTTATGTTACCAGATTGCAAAGCTTGCCTTTATAAATCTATTTAATATAGATTTAAAATTAAATTTTATAATGGGCAGCATTTCCAAATGATTTACTCCCAGGAACTCTAGGATTCTGAATGATTCCCACCATAATAGAAATGAACAATTAGAATAATGATTGATCGATATGGAGCCTCAGCCCTACCTTTTCAAAAAAACATCCTGCAGCTTGGGACCTTCAATTGGCTGACTTTACATTGATGCCAGACTTCCACAAAGGAAGAAGTGGCCTGCTGTCTGAAAGTCTGACCCTGTTAAAGGGTACAAACTACCAGAAACCCCAAGTCTTCCGTAGCACCTAGTATCTTGGTCTTCAAGTATGCAGTCAAAACTGGTTTGCAGTTCACAGCAGTAATTCCTTGTAAAGCCAGCCCATAAACTGCAGCATGCTATTGTTAGTGGAACAGTTCTGTGGCTTTCTGTGATAAGAGACTGGTACACCCAGGGTGAATAAGATCAGAAGCCAAGGGAAAGCTACTCTAACCTCTAGCAGTCCCAGTAGCTGCAGTACATTGCTGCTTACACCAGAAAGCATTGCTGCCTCATCAGAATTCTACCTAGAAGGATGTTAATTTTTTTAAAAAGTGAACCATGTTTACATTCGTCTTCCTTCCTTAGGTCACTTTTGTTTTAAATCAATCTACTACATTCTGCCCAGCCTGACCCAACCAGTTCCACGTTTCAGTTCTCTCTTCTGTACCAACCCAAAGTTATAACATTTAGGTTTACAAGTATCACAGACTTTTTTTTTTTTTATTTAAGAAAAAAACAGAAAGGACATTGGCTTCCCAAACTATTCCTAGCAGTTTCGGAATACCAGCTTAGGCAAGTAGGCTTTCTCCAAATAACACAGTTAAATGTGACACAAAGTTCTTTCCTGATGGGAAACGGCTCCAGTGTTTACAACGTAATGCTGAATAATTTTTTCAAGATGCGCAAAGAATCTTACTGCCCACCAGTTATTTCCACACCACTTGTAAAGAAAATCAATTTCAGATCATCTGCTAGTACATGCAAGAGTTGTTTCTATAAAACAAAGCTATACTCGCAACTAGTCTATCGTCTTTGGTATTGAGGGGCAGTGGTCATTCAATCAATATTTTTTAATCTATATTCTTTCATCTCTTCCCACTACAGTTTTTGGTTGTTACTTCCCCCCCCCCCCCAAGTCAGAAACAACACTTGAGAAAATACATTTCATCTTTCTAGAGGTAGAAATTGTAAAAAAGTTTTCTTGGATTAAGTTCACCTTCTTTGCACAACCAATGCATTTCTACCAAAGATTAATCACAGAATCATAGAATAGTTAGGGTTGGAAAGGACCTTAAGATCATCAAGTTCCAACCCCCTGCCATGGGCAGGGACACCTCGCTCTAAACCATATCACCCAAGGCCTCGTCCAACCTGGCCTTGAACACTGCCAAGGATGGAGCATTCACAACCTCCCTGGGCAACCCATTCCAGTGCCTCACCACCCTAACAGGAAAGAATTTCCTCCTTATATCCAATCTAAACTTACCCTGTTTAAGTTTTAACCCATTACCCCTTGTCCTATCACTACAGTCCCTAATGAAGAGTCCATCCCCAGCATCCCTATAAGCCCCCTTCAGATACTGGAAGGCTGCTATGAGGTCTCCACTCAGCCTTCTCTTCTCCAGGCTGACCAGCCCCAACTTTCTCAGCCTATCTTCATTTGGGAGGTGCTCCAGTCCCCAGTCATCCTCGTGGCCCTCCTCTGGACTTGTTCCAACAGTTCCATGTCCTTTTTATGATGAGGACACCAGAACTGCACACAATACTCCAGGTGAGGTCTCACGAGAGCAGAATAAAGGGGCAGGATCACCTCCTTCGACCTGCTGGTCACGTTCCTTTTGATGCAGCCCAGGATACGGTTGGCTTTCTGGGCTGCAAGCGCACACTGCAGCTGGCTCATGTTCATATTCTCATCGACAAACACTCCCAAGTCCTTCTCTACAGGGCTGCTCTGAATCTCTTCTCTGCCCAACCTGTAGCTGTGCCTGGGATTGTTCTGACCCAGGTGTAGGACCTTGCCCTTGTCATGGTTGAACTTCATGAGGTTGGCATCAGCCCACCTCACAAGCATGTCAAGGTCCCTCTGGATGGCATTCCTTCCCTCCAGCGTATCAACCAAACCACACAGCTTGGTGTCATCGGCAAACTTGCTGAGGGCGCACTCAATCCCACTGTCCATGTCAGCGACGAAGATGTTGAACAAGACCGGTCCCAACACCAATCCCTGAGGGACACCACTCGTTACAGGTCTCCAGCCGGACATTGAGCCATTGACCACAACTCTTTGTTTGTGGCCCTCCAGCCAGTTCTTTATCCACCGAGTGGTCCATTCATCAAATTGATGTCTCTCCAATTTAGAGACAAGGATGTCGTGTGGGACAGTGTCGAACGCTTTACACAAATCCAGGTAGATGACATCAACTGCTTTACCGCTGTCCATCAGTTCTGTAACCCCATCATAGAAGGCCACCAAATTGTTCACACAGGATTTCCCCTTGGTGAAGCCATGCTGGCTGTCACCAAGCACCTTGTTATTTTTCATGTGCCTTAGCATGCCTTCCAGGAGAATCTGCTCCAAGACTTTGCCAGGCACAGAGGTGAGACTGACTGGTCTGTAATTCCCCGGGTCATCCATTTTCCCCTTCTTGAAAATGGGGGTTATATTTCCCTTTTTCCATTCGTCGGGAACTTCACCTGACTGCCATGATTTTTCAAATATGATGGCCAGCGGCTTAGCAACTTCATTTGCCAGCTCCTTCAGGACCCGTGGATGGATTTCATCAGGACCCATGGAGTTGTGCACATTCAGATTTTTAAGATGGTCTCGAACCAATTCCTCTCCTACAGTGGGCCCAAGGTCTTCATTCTCATAGTCCCTGCACCTCCTTCCAAGACTTGGGTGGTGCGGTCAGAGCCTTTGCTAGAGAAGACTGAGGCAAAGAAGTCATTCAGAACCTCAGCCTTCTCCAAATCCTGTGTAGCTAGTTCACCTGAGAGCTTCCTGAGGGGACCTGTGTTCTCCCTAATCTGTTTTTTATTTGCTATGTACCTGTCATATTGATTAAGTAGATACATATGGTCATTGGAAGACTTAGCAATAAAAGCTTTCCCAAAAACGCTCAGCCAAAAAACTTTTATGTGGCTTTTAATCCATATACAGGTTACTTTGTCCAAGTAGTTTTTATCTCTTTCACACAGAAATAGGTAACTCAATATTCAGCTTATGAACGTTGAAGCAAGTTTATTCCACCACAGTCCTCAATATGTAGAGCAAGTTTATGAAAAATGTACAGGAAAAGTCTCAGCTCTGCTCTCAGGATTTAATGTGTGTCCCTATATTCTGCAAAGCCAAGAAAGACAGCATCAGGCCTCCACTGTTCATCACCACTGAATTTCCCAAGGGGAATCTGCTCAGGATATGAGGAATGCTTCTTCCCAAAAATGTTAACTCTGCCTCGACGCAGATACAAACTGGTTTCTTTCCAACCACCCTTGACAACTTGCCTATACCATGAGCTCATCTGCCCGCTTCCAATATCTGTACTACCCAGCCTGCCAGGGACTTGCACGCAATATCTGAGCACGACGTACCAAACTGGGTAATGAAAGAGGTGAGACAGCAGCTGCTCCTTCCAAACTACGTCACAGCTATTGTACTAACAGGAACCAGTGTTTTTATTTATCACTCATCCTGGCTGAAGTGATCAGTAATGCACAGATGCACTTTCCTTCTTAAATCTCTCGATATTTTTACAGCAGAAAAGGGCCTAAGCTGGAAAGATAAAGCAAACGCTACATATACACAGATAATCACAAGTAAGTTTAAGTTACATTACCTAGAAAAACGACAATGAAATTAAAAACTGACACTGCAAATTTTCCTTCTCCTCCGTTAAAAAAGGCACTAATAATTAACTATGTGGCTCTCAATTAAGCCAGCTCAATTTCTTTCACTGCTGGCAGCACTGTCCAAAAGCACTGCAGATGCACATGTAACTAATGATAGTAAAGAAATAACATGATCCCAGGCTCCCATAACTTGCAACCTGAATCCAACACAGATGACAGCAGTATTACCCATAGTCAGGGCCATGTGAGAGCATGCTGTAGGAAAGGCAAAATTACTGTGGGCTCTATGAGCATGAGAGGGTTGCCAGTTAAAAACTGGGAATAAAGAGGAATTTGTGACAGCACTGGAAGAAACTCTGGAGGATTGCACTCGAGTGCCAAAGCACACGCAGTGGCACATAAAAGCTCTGGGCCTTAAGAGGCACTGGAATTTCTCCGGGTTTTCCCCAATTATTGCCCGCTGATTCTTTGTTGCTTGTGCACAATTAAGGCTGATATCAAAGTCACTGTTAGTCTTGACAGGTAACTTTGGTAGGTGGATCTGGTTGACCAAAACTAGCATAAATCACGGGCAAATACGTGCTTCAGTATGCAGCATACGTACTCATTAAGAGACATTTTCAACTCCTCTGACTCCCAGTGTGCTCACCGCCTGGTACAGGGAGCTCCACTAAGAACAGAACTATCCTTCTCAAATGTCACCAGGAATGCCAGGAGAAAAGCTAC